GATCCATTCCTGATCTTCTTTCTTCTTCCTTCCTAATACGGTTATCCAGGTTTCCTTCCACATAGCTTTCAAAGAGTTCCAGTGTTCATCCACACAGGTTTCTTCAGGGATGTTGCTCGACATCCCTTATTTTGTCTTGATGGCTGCCGTGTTGTCCGCTCCCAGTGTGGCATTTATGTCGCCCATCAGAATAAATTTTGACGTCACCAACTGGACCGGGGTCTCTTTCAGTGCTGATTGCAGTTGTCTGTGAAATTCCTCCCTCTTCTCTTCATCTGCATTATTTTTTGCCGCGTAGAGTAGCACTGTATGACTGTGGCTTTACTTCTTTTCTAGTTGAATCCATCTTGCTGTGATGATCCTGATCCTGAAGCAGGAGACTGGTTCCCACTGCACGAGAGAGGGGTTTCGATGCTGTTGGGGACATCATGATAGCCACTGAAAACTCACTGTGTTTGTGGTTGTCGTCTGGGTGACAATATCGGAGTAGATCATTGACTCTCCAGTTTATAGCTTGATTAAACTTTTGTACGTAGGTTTTCTACACGTAAGCGATTACCTGTTTCAAAATCCCCTATTCTCTCTATTCCATTCTTCGGCTTCAGTTTAGTTTCCACTACTTTCGTATGCACTGTCATCTTCTGCATGAGCTTACCTTTAAACAGTAGGCTTTGGATACCTCTTCAAGTAACTTTGTAGTAAGTACAATGAACTCACCTACATGTGCCATGGTCGACGTACTTCTGCGTAGAAAGTTTATGCCCGAGTTTCAAATTTCGCCTGCCGCTCGCTTTTGCTATTCATTTTTCAGGTTTATCCGACCAGCCCTTCATTCAAATGGACCCTAGTGGTCTAATTTGTCAGCGCGCACTATGCCATCAAAACCTTATGACGAAGGCATACGGCCGAAGGTCACGGCCGCACTACCTGCCCCACCTTGAAGAATATTGGAAGATTCAAACAGTAGCCGAATAATTCCTACTTTCGGACTGAGCTTGCTTTAGTATGATGAACAATTATGCTGGTGTTCATCTGCTTTATTCTTTGCTGTCTGCGAAGCACCTTTTATGTACCGGGAAGAACGGTGTCTACTGTATAGCTTGACATTGTACACAACAGTCAGTTCACATTAACAGAATGATCACACCTGTAAACTGGCTCGTTTCCGTGTAACCTATTAACAGTTTAGAGAGTCCACTTCCACTCCACCTGCATATCTCTCGCAGATTTCCAGCGCTTCTATGCTATACCGCCTCATCTCTTTTGCAATCTGGGCAGCCTTTTCAGCCAGCTTCGAACATTGTGTGGATACTCCATGTCCCCGCGTTTACTTTCGCTTCCATCGAGGAAAGAGAAGACACATCGGCCGACTGGCTTACCGAAGGCTTTCACCAACCGGCGTCATTTCGTCTTTCCGACTCCAGCAAGGAATAAGTTTGTTTTTATTTTTTATGATTTTTTTGTGCTTTAAAGTTTGTTTAGCGATTGGACTGGTCTTCCTGGTTAGAATTGCTTGCCCAACTCACAAACTTTCCTCCTTATCGGGCTTAAAACCGGCTAGCAACTGGCGAACCGGTTAGGTAGGCGAGGTTTTCACCATTTCTATGGCAGATTAATATGCGTTGGTATGTGACACTCGTATTGTTTACAGTTCGTTCGTGTTCATGCATTTCTGAAGACTGTCGAAATCTTTGTTGATCCGTGTTGTTTGATTCCCGAAAGAAAACAGATGGTTAATTCTGCCGTAGGTTAGACTTGGATGTCACTAAAGGGCTCGGCTTACGCTGAAGTCTTATGACACATATGGTATTCAAACCACGCAGGCTTCATTACTCACTCACATCGTTCGGATTATCGCCGAACTCTATAAAGCAGTGGAATATCCTCCGTAAATACCCTCCTTAGCGGCGAATAATTTACCCGAAGCGACTGACTGTGATTGTTTTTGCCTCAAGCATGGGCGCATAACGAGCGGCATCATGGATGCAGCACGTAATTTTGAATGTGTTTCCGATCCCACATAATGATGTAAGTATTTTACAAACATAGCTTGTACTGTTGTAAGAAACGACAAGGGTGAGACGCGGGATAGAATGTTTATTGACACCTTGTGCAGAAGTGACGAACTGCTATATACTTCCCATTGAAATAGTCATTTTCTCAGTGTGCTTCATTCCCTCTTCTGCTTCTATCCCGATTTTCTTTTAATACGCCCAGATTGTCTGTTGCATTTCCCTGGGCAGAATATTTACCCATCGATAGTGATTGACTATGATTTCTACCGCCCTCTTTTCATAAACTATTCATATCCATTCTTGTCAGTAGCACACACCGCACTCGTACTCTCGTCGAACTTTCAGGTTTCCAGCAGTGCCGATCATCCTGATGCTGTCTTCTCTTGGTGTTCATGAAAAGTTTATTCTTTTCGTCACCGTCTCCATTTTGGAAGTAGGTCGGCGTTCACTCTTTTCGCCTTGTCCCCCTTCTTGATGGCATGAACTTGAACGCGTCTCTCACTAATCACGTGTGGTTTATCTCACTTCGGAAGATGTTTTCTTGCACCACATTTTTCACCTGAATAATATCCGCGTTCTCCGTATTTCACTTGGTCTTCAACCCAAGCAGTTTCCATTCACTTCCCTCTCTGCTCGGATTTATCAGCTTCAGCTTTCTGTCTCTGTTCCACATTTCTGATTGCCTGTTTCCGCTCTTCTCTCAACCTTGTCATGTTTGCGGCTGTTGCCGGGGCAAAGTCTTGCTGTGTGTTAGGGGCAGTGGTTTCCTGTCACATATCAACTGAAACTATGACGTCTTTGTTATTCCTTGTACAGAGGCACGATGCGTTAATAATGTCGACGTCATCAACCGCTGCTACTGGAATCGACTGAAACAGCTGCGGTACATGCGGATCACACCTCACTAACTGACGGTGTGGATAAGCCAAGACGTGTTTGGCAACATCTCTCCTGCCCGATTGTCTTAGAAGGTCTACCGTCCATGAGACACTTGGTGGGATTCTTGTATCATTTTGTAGCCTACACATTTAGGAAGCACCACCAACAAGCTCCCGTCTTTTTCTCGCCAAGTCAGCATCCTATAAGTATTCACACGTAGGTATTCTTTCCATGTCAAAATGTTCTCAGCTGTTCACTCACTGTGGACTTATCTGTCTCAGTTCCTTCAGTTGTAGCTTTTATCACTGTCTTAAGTGCAGGGTCCGACTTCTGAAGACGAGTATTTCTCAATGGGTCCTGTTCTGCAGCATGTACGCAGATGTGACCTTAGGCGGTTTATTTTCTTCATCTCATCCTTGCGAGAAACCTGCTAACTAACTTTCGTTTCCCATCACGCAACCGATTGTGAAGCCGTACCCTTGCAGTCTTAACATATAGACTGGTAATTTTTTGCGGGGTCCGTCTCTATTTTTAGCCGCTGTAGAGGTTTATGATCACTTGCAATATGGAACCGTTGACCGGGCAGGTACGATCTCCATTTCTCAAGCGGTCAATCTATCACTTAACATTCCTTTCCAACCATGGAATATTTATGTTAGCAGGTGTCAAGAGACGGTTGGCATACTCCACTGTTCCTTCAGTTTGTCTCAGAAATGCGCCTACTCCATAATCACCCGCACCAGTGGACAAAATGAATGGTTTCCCGGCTAGTGGTGGTTTCATAGTGATCTACCAGTCGTTTAGGAGTTCCTTGATGTGACTGAACGTTTCCTGTACATCATCTGTCCACGTAAATCTGGGGCTTCCAAATGCTCCGTATAAGGCGCTGATATCTCTCTGAAAGCCTAGAACTATAAATACTTTTGTATTCTGCAGACGACCCAGTGTTTCAGTTACCGTTGAAACGGCACAGAGCTTCACCTCCCTTATAGTATTTAACCCCAGGACATCAACGCAGAATCTATATTTTCCATTGCATTCCTATACTGAAAACCACTAGTGAGCTGCATGGGCAGACAGACTCTTCTATTCAACAATGCCGTAGTTCAGCATTTCCTGAACTGACGCACAACTTCCTCTTCTAAGTGACGTGGTATTCGTTGTGTTAAACGGTCACCATTCTTTAACTCACAAAATAATAATGTAATACTAAATTTATAGGTCCACCAGGTGCCCCATAAGATATCCAGCAAGTGTTGGAGACTGGTATGCACTTATCCCTATCTCAGGACAAGTTTGAGGGTAAAAATCTGTTCGACGTACCCTACTTCAAGCCTGAAATTTGCCCGTTTCCTCGATTTTGCTGTTCTCCAGTTCCACTCAGACATCAGGTATCTATGACGCCTTGGATACTGGACACAATATTGGCCAAACTAATCTCCCCCCGTATGGCTGTCACAAAAAGATTTCTACCTCTTCTTACAGACTGAAATAATCAGTAAAGTTGACAAATTTGACGACGCCATATCTGAATTTCGCACATTCCCCAGTACCTCCGTCGCGTCATTTAGGAATCTCCTACCTCCATCCTTGAAAACGTCAGGTATCAAACTGTCAGGTCCTGGTGCTTTGCATCATTTCAGGTTCGGTACAGCTTTCTCAACTGCGAGGGGAGTTGGAGGACCGACATCTACGTCCTATTCGGGTTCAGGCCGTAGTTTTTCAGTTACTGAAGTATTGCTTACGACCAGTTGAACGGTGCTTCAAAGCGTTCCGTCTGACGTTCTAGTCGCCTATCTCCAGAGGTTATCAGTGTTCCATCCTCTTCCGTGATAGTTTCGCCACCATCGTATTATTCTTGCCGGCATCCTCAATAGGCCCAGATAGTTGCCGAGTGTTGACCAACTCTGATACCTTCCCATTCTATCCTCGTTTCGTCACCCACTTCTTACTCTCTTTACTTGCCTACGGGTTAACAACTGCAAAAACTAGTAATTCACGAATTTAGGCTGACGGAGACAGTCAGGCGAAATCTTCTTCCTAGGAAATAATAACTATTTAACATCTGTACAAGTTGTTTAGCAAGGTCGAATATGAAATAGGAGTTTCCAAGGCGGTCACTTAGGATTTGGTTTGTAGTGTCCGGTAATGACAACTCAACGCAGGGGTCTACGGGTGTTAAATACATTTGAGCCTTTGGAAGCGAAGCAAGTACGGATCAGTAACTTCAGTGCTCCATTTTAGGCTCATCCCCCGGATACTAAGAAACGTGGAGTCATTGGTGCTAAGGCTCCGGCTATCGTACAGAAGCTGATAAATGACAAATCTGCTGTTGCGAAGGTTGCACCATTCAAAGTTTTTTGGGACCCTGTTGAAAATCATTGTCAGCATTGCGGGGCTGCTCGTATCAACAGTGCTCAAGAACGTAATCCTGTCTCAGTAAAGGATTCTAAAGATGCAGTTACTCAGATTGAAACTGATGACCTCATAGCTTGGTTGTCTTCAGGTAATATTGCATTACTCAAAGTGCAACATGTAGAGGACCCACCTGAAGATTATTGGCAAGTAGTTGCCGAACAAAGGCGAGTCGCTTGAGAGAAACTCTGGACGAAAACACAGAGGTATGGAGGCTTTCAGTGCTTATTTCCGTAGCTGTGTTCTCTAGTTGAGAGTCTGAATTTGGAGATTGAGAGATTAAGTGCTATTGCTGCTCAAATTAATCGCTGTGCTACGGTATGTGGTGTTTGTGATGAACTGATTCCTTTCTGAACTTTTAATAGTACGTATATGGATAGATCATAAGTGGTATTGTAGCACATGAAATCATATATTTGTACAGTGATACTTACATTGTTGGTTTTCAGAACCGCTTTGTCTGTTAAAGATCTGGCGTTAAAATTTTCATCGAGAGACAAGTACGTATCATTATCAGGTGTCTACCAAAGCTCATTGTCACATTCAGTCGGATAGCATACGCATTGATAAGCAGAACCACTTTCCGCTGAACTTGGAAAGTGGGTATTGCTAGCTGTTACACAAGATAGTAAGTCACAACAGCCTGTAAATGCAAGGATATGTGTGCTTCATTGTCTGGCTAGACGAATATCCAGCAGGCTGAGGCCACATATGTTAAAGTGGTTCCAGACCCTGATTCGTCAATATCAATTTTTTTACCGTGAGTGGTAGCGTTAATGACGCACTCCGAGGTTGCGTAAACACACCCTCCCTTTAACTAATCTTAAGCCGAATGAAAGGTGTTGACGTCAACAGGGAGTCGTACTACTACTAGTGAACATTCTTCTTTTGTAATTAACAGGTAGTCGTCGAAGATGATGGATCAGGTGACAGTCAGGATACAGAATTTCTGAGTAACGTTAATGAAGTTTAGCAGACAAAGAATGTTCCACCCCCAACTTCCGCACCGACTTTCATTTTGAGATGCTTTTTTGATGCATTCAATTACTATCCAATTTGTATTATTGCTTAACTTTCTGGTAATAGTAAACATGTGGTTCTTTCTCACGTAATGCTTCTGTTTTGTGTCAGTCATGTCAGTGATGGCTTGGTTGTGTTGTCTACTGCGTCCAATTTCTGAAAAAACCTTGCACATGGAGAATGCGCACAGTCAGTGCTGATTCGCATTGTTACCAAACTTTCTATGGTTTCATCAAATGCTTGACCTATTGTTGTCCAATGCGTGTAATCCTACAAGCTGTTTGGTGCATGTTTAGGCTTGTCGGCTGAGGTGAATTCACGCTGTCTGGTTTGACGACAGATTATGGTGCAAGTTTTCTTCAGTCTAACAACCAATCTGTTGAGTGGATAGCTAGTGGCATACCCTAATGTGCGATTCGAGTGTAGTCACACTTCCGCGTCCTAACGTGAGATAGGCAAACTCAACCTAGAACTTCACATGGTAGTGCATCACTTCAAGTTGCCACACTTCACAATAGCATGTAAGAAATAAGTGAATAGAAAAGGACTCACCGAGTAGACAAAGGTGCCAGACAAGAAACATTTCAAAGATGAAGACATTAGGAGATACGGATTTACTTCTAATTACAGGTATGCGTTACCGCTTGTCTTTGCTGCTGTTTCTACGGATGGGCACTGCTACCACGTTCAGATAAATGCTTAGCCAACTCGTCTCTGGATGCATACTTGGAGTTTTCATCTACCAATCGAGCAGAGGTGGGCCTCACTGCCTTCTGTTTCCTGAGGCCTGTAGGTCACAAACACACACGAGTCGCTAATAGCACGGTTGGAGTCTAAATCGGCATTCCAGGTATAGTGGCAATCCCTCACCAATCCTCTTCAGCGATGGCTTATAGCGATATGATGCGTCTATGCCCATCGTTGGCTTCATGTCGTCGGACACCATGCAAGACATCGCTCCTTTTGCTTAGAGTAAGTGCTAACGAGAGTTTGTCGGAGCGAAATCACGACAAACGATCACCGGCAAGAAGTTGTGTAGATACCTGTCAAATGCTCTTCCGATTGATGCAGCTCAGACTCCTTACTTTGGGGTCATAGTCACCCACCACTATGACTGCATTTGACCGTTTTGCTTTCTGTAGTCAAATTGACAGCTCTTATGAGAATTGGTTTTCTGCATTATCCCAACTGTAGTCGGTGGTAGCATAGGCTGATGTTACGAATAGGTATCTCCTCGTGTGCTGATCCTTCCTAGTTCTTACAGATCCATTCCGTCGAACAGCACATGAACGACTGGTTATTGGGGATCGTGCTTTCTGCTCTACAACTCAATGCTACGCCAACGAGTCAACGTGGGCCAGCCATTGGGTTTTCAGATGCTCGAAAGTTGGATCTTGGAGATTCCCTACTATGGCAGGGTGAGGTCAACTTAATGGTCACATTCGGATCCTGCATACGTGTCTCAAAGACACTGCATGCAACCATGTTTTGAGAGTTTAGGGTTTTGGCGAGCCATGTTTGCTGTCCGATTTGGCATGGAGTTCGGACGTTGAAAGCTCCTGTGTGAAATCTATGACTGAGTCTTAGGAGGTTGGGGATGAGGTAACAATGTGTTGGGTCGCTGGGAATGGTATTTAGGTAAGCCGTGGTTAGAGCATGATAAGCTTAGCATTATTATGAAGCAGCGAAGCAATTTAGGAGTCGGAGTTGAGGAGGGTAGATTTTGTTTGATTGGGTCTTGAATACTGCTGGAGACGTGTTAGCAGTTGAAACTTCCGGCCTGTACGAATGGTGGGAGGCAATTATTTCTTAAGTTACTTGAAAGGGAAAAAGGAAGAGGATTATGTCACTGTGAAGGCTGTAGGATATCTGCTGGGGCCCTGTCACATGCTAATTGTGCTTTGTTTCGAGGTTTCGTTCTAACGTTGGATAGTGAGGACCCGTACTGTTGGCACAGAAAGGCCGTGGGGAATTGTGAAGTGTCTTTTTTCAGGCTGACTTTTTCTAACATATCACCGTAGTGAAGACAGGGTCATCGTAGCACTGCTGGTCATTCAAGGGAAACACCTTACTGCTGTCACACGCCGTTCAACTAGCAGCAGTGCGACTTCGCCTTCAAACCCTCTTCATAGTGTAGTAATTTACCCTATAAAAGTAACTTCATTTAGTTTTATTAATACCTACCAACTTTTCTAGCGTGGTGGGACCTCGAGAGAACAAGCGATCTTCTAGCATAACTCGTCGGGTCATTGTGATGTGCAATCCTGACCATCACGTTAAGGTAACCGTTATAGACCGGTAAATAAGCTTTATAGGTTAAAAGATCATCATCATCATTATCAACATAGGACCAGGCATTACTGCGTAACGGTCCGAGTTGCCACACCTCATATCAGCACATCAAGTAAAAAGGTAGTGAGGTGAAGGATGAAGATAAGTGAATGCAGTCAAAAGAAATATAAAGTATGAGAAGAAAGGAAAGAGGAGTGACAAAATAGTGAGATTCGGCATAGCGTTGTTAAGATGAGGATAATGTGTGTATACATCTGCGCCACTGAAATCGGTTCTGAGCCATATCACCTAGGGTCTCCAACCACTGGTTCCTCTTGTCCCGCGGACCCCAACCACCTAGTCTGCATCGTCCTACATGGCTTAAACCAACAGTCAGAGACTTCATACATTGGTGCCATGTTTTAGTCTGGCCACCTCGGGCCTTTTTCCAGCCTGGACCCACCTCAGCCAACATTGTGTGACGAGGCAATCGGTGACTAGGCATACGTAGTACGTGTCCCAACCATCTCAGTCGATGAAGGTTCACAACCTCGTCGACTGACTTACCTCTTCTCCCTAAAACTCTACACCTAACTTCTGCATTACTCACATGGTGACACCACGGAATACGTCCTATACTACGAAGGCAACGGTGGTCAAATACCTGTAACCTTCTCATGTCTTCCACTTTCAATGGCCATGTTTCACAGCCATACAGTAGAACAGAGCGGACTGCTGTGCAGTACACGCGACCCTTAATAGACAAACGAATATCACGGCGGCGCCATAGGTGGCGCAAATTGGCAAAAGCCAATCGAGCCTTTTGTATCCGTGCAGAAATCTCATCGGCAACTAACCCACCAGGGTTGATCCTACTTCCCAGGTAGGTGAAGTGGTCAACACACTCAACTACTTCACTCTCTATTGTTAACCGCGGTACCGCTGAAGACCAGTCCTGGAGCAAAAATTTGCATTTGGGTGGTGAAAATCGCATCCCAAACATTCTCAAATTTCCACTCAAAGTGTTCAGAAGACTCTGCATCTTGTCAGCGTCTTCACCTAACAGGACTATGTCATCTGCATATTCTAGATCTAAGGAAAATTCACCTGTGATCGGGTCAACGTCTTTGTAATTAGGTGACGAGAGGGAAACCTCCATAAGAATATCTATGATAAAATTAAATAAGAATGGGGATAGTGGGCATCCTTGACGGACACCACTTGATGAGTATAGCTCCCTGGACAACTCACCATAGGCTCTAACATGCCCACAAGTGTTCGAGTAGAGAGCTTTCAATAAGGTGATGTACTTACTAGGCACGCCTTTCAGTGACAGACACTGCCATAAGACTTCTCGATCAACGGAGTCAAATGCCGCCTTCAGGTCGAGAAATACAGCTATTGTCGGGCGTCTGTAAGCATGCCTATGTTCCAGGACCTGGCGCAGTGTGAATATTTGGTCGATACATCCAGGTGGAATAACTAAGTGGACTGAATTCTTTGCAACGGTGGATTTTTGTACCGCGAGTGGTTTTCGTATGTAGGAATCTGCTTAGTTTAGTGCCCGTCGTTGAAGCCTCAGGAGTATATAATGCTATGGAGTATAGTTTGTACTCTGACACTTTTTGGCTGTCCGCATCCTAAGAGTTGTGTTTACGTCACACTTGATAGTTAAACAGGAAGTGATTTGTGTTACCCTAGTGTTCACTGGACACTTTTTGTGGCCGGTCCCACGGCTTTTTAAGGATCGTTCTTTTGAGATTTGTTTGTTCTTACGGTGGACAGAGAACAAAGATACCACCTGCACTGGAACCCTGAAGGATCGGTAGTTGCGTGCCGCTTTCGGGCCAGCCTAACACCTTTTTTCCCTCCAAGAAACCGAGCTTAGTATGGTAACCCTGGTTGTCTTTGCGAAGCTCTTTACTGCCATCAATTCCCGTTTGGCCACGTTATAACTTTATCCTGGCACCCTCATCATGGCGTAGTAGGCTGGAACATAACGGCAACTGTTTTTCATCCTTTCACTGTCCAGCAGATCTTCGTGGCATGGTAAGGCCTCCGGGTAACAAGGGATCTTGTCGGCTTAGCCTATTGAACTACCGTGATTGGCAAGTATGACTACGACGCCGAGGTCGTTACTATCGGTTGGGATACGAACCTGTATGTCGGAGGATTGTCTCGTCACTACTTTCCCAGCGCTTTTGTGTTTTCGTAGAGACGCTGCTCAATCCGGAATACGAACCACCCTTAACTGCCGACCGTTGCTGATCGTTAAAGTCATTGTGATGTGCAACCCTGACCATCACGTTAAGGCTGCCGTTATAGACCGGTAAATAAGCCTTATAGGTTAAAAGATCCTACCGATCCAACTAGGTGGAATAACTAAGTGGACCGAATTCTTTGCAACGGTGCTGATGTAAGGTGTGGTAGCTTGGAGCGTTACGCAGTAATGCTAGTTCTATGTTGAGTGCGATGGTGATTGCGAGGTCAAAATTTGTAGGTCCTTGTAAGACTGATTTTAGGAAAAGCCTAGGCTATGCATGCAATTACACGGGATGGGACGGGGAAGTCCCTGAAGCTGACAGCAGAGTTGGAGCAGGGAGAGATGGGTTACAGGTTTTTTGTTTGTCCAGTCAGCTCCTAATACTTGCATTAGGAATTGCTCACCACTTCCGGATTTATGGAAAACCGTACTACCAAAGGAGGTGAGGAAAGTAGGAACGTGTAAGGGATGTCTCAAACTTGTCTCGATATGATTGTGGACAATAAATTATGTCCGAAACGTGATCCGGCTAACAACACTGTTCCTGTGTGATGCATTTAATAAATCGACTAAAATGAAAGGATCAGTAGTCACTTGACCTGCTTTCGTTTTTCCTTGAGAGACAAACTGGGATCTAGCTATTCCTTTAGTTAGTAGATAAATATTTGTCTTTTTCGGTGTGCAACCTGTGTGGTTAACCACCGGACAAGATGATTCAAATGAGTTTTAAGAATTTAGTCTCTTAACTCACCTATTGTTACTGATGATTCCACGGTTTTGGAGTCTGATGATGAGGATAGCCTGTGTCATAAACTTGAAGTTTGTCTGGAAAATAGATACCAATTAGGAAGCAGAAGTAAATGATGACTTATTCCTTGAAGTAGGTACAATATGTAAATGCCTATTTTTGTAGCCTTGTGTAAGCTTGAAAAAAAACGGGAAATTGATTAAGAAACCTGTTAGTATTGCCATTTCATCACTGAACAGTCTTGGTTCACCCACTGCACCACATGTCTCAAATATATTTGGTGTTTCAGACAACGTAGAGGCATCCAAGTCAAGCAGGTCGATGCTTCTAAGAAAAGAAGGATATCAACGAACAATCAGTCGTTGATACCTAGGGACGTTAAACAAGTGTCGAAGGCTGTTAGCGCTGCATCTAAGACCAGGGATATCGCAGTATAATATTTTGTGAGTCGACAAACTCGGACGCGTGTAAGCGATACGCTCATGACTCGCAACTTTTTGCATCAGTACTAAAACACCTAGTAGAGGTTTTTGCGAGAGATGAATACGGTAAGATAACGTAACTGGGAAGTAGATACGCTTGTTAACTCATGGCGTCTAATTATGGTTGAGCTGGGTACTCCTTAATAATTTGAGATTGTTCTTTGGAATGCACAAGGTCAATTATAATAATACGCATTTACTTCCTAACTGGCTACATGTGGACAAAATGAGGAGGAAAGAAGCTGAACTGGGCCGAGAACGAAAAAGCCTGGAATATTGAGTTTTCAGGTGGTAAGGTCTCGGCACCCAGTGTTGCCGAGGCCCCTATTCCTAAGTCGGATGGATGGTCAGGTAGCGTAAAGGTATGTTATACTAACTTCCATAGCCTCAGGAATAAACTGCCTGGATTAGAAAATTTAGTTGAAGGTACGAAAACTGATGTGGTATCAATAATGGGAACCTGCTCATTATGCGACATATACCTTGCTCCCTTTATACAAGGATTTACCTGCAGGAGACATGCATAGGACTATACATTCGGTAAGATATTAGGTTGCTTCCAATGGGGTCAAAAACACCAGTCGTACATGTGGAACAGCGTGTTGTGATATTGTGTCGAGGCAAGGAACTGTTGCTATTGTTGTCATCTGTTGAAGTCTTAATTGTTAAGTTAGCTACATAATTGGGACACTAACGATAGGTGTTCAGTAGTCGGAGACCTCAATGCTCTTCATGTTAATTAAAAGCAGCTCACTGCCACTAGTCAGTATAGATATTTCGATATGGAGCTGCTGCTTACTAACTTCAAGTATGCTTTGACACAAAGTGTAGTTATATGTACGCGCTTTGATCCAGAGCATCAGTCTTCATTTTTCGACCTGGTACGGTACAAAGATGCGATTGACCTCCAGTAACTCCCATCGTTGGCAAGTAGTGACCATGTAATGGTTGCACTGGGACACGAAACTTATAACTCGGCCTATCATCATAAATATCAACATGTGACCAGGCATTGCTACGTAACGGTCCGAGTTGCCACAGCTCATATCAGTACATCAAGTAGAAAGGTAGTAAGGTAAAGGATGAAGATAAGAGAATGCAGTCAGGAGAAATATAAAGTGCAAGAAGAAAGAAAGGAGGAATGACAAAATAGTGAGATTCGGTATAGTGTAGTTAAGATGAGGGTAATATGTGTATACATCTGCACCACTGACATTGCTTCTGAGCCATATCACCTAGTGTCCAACCACTGGTTCTTCTTGTCCCACGGACCCCAACCACCCAGTCTCCATCCCCCACATGACTCAAACCAACAGTCAAAGACTAAGCATTTATGCCATGTCTTAGTCTTGCCACATCGGGCTCTTTCGCAGCCTAGATCTATCCCCTCCGGACCAAATACTTGGCGTGCAGACTTGACAGTGACTAGGGAAATGGCAGTCTCAGTAGACTGATCTGTCATTACAGACTGGACTGCTGGGAAGGCTTGAGAGCAATTTAAGAGAACATTCGGAAGTGTCACGTCTTCCATTTCTCGGTCAGTACCATGCAGGCTTTATCACATCATTTTGATAGATGGTGAGCTCCAAAAGCTATTAAGAAGCATGAAGCACTACTGGGATCCGTTTATAGGGATGAGTTGTGTTACGACTAAGTTAATGTGCCTCAAAATTCAGAACTTATAAGACTGATCACTAAACGCTGCACTGAATATGAAAAGCAATTAGTATATGACTGTGTTGTCTGTCTCAAAAGATTTCATTCACATATTAAGCTCAAGCCCAGGAAGTATGATGGAATACCCACTTTACTTCTCAGTGGAAACTCAGATGTTTTAGGAGGATCAGTCATAGAAAAAGCCAAAATCCTATCGAATTACTCCAGTAAGGTATTTTTGTCGGATTAGAACACAGTTGTTATGTCCATGGTCGAGGTCCCGCAAATGGATGCTATTTTGATGGACAGATAAGCACAGCATAGATTACCAGATACATTGAAACTTGATAACTCAACGGGTTCTGACGACTTACACCTGAGTCTGTTACTCACCTTGGCCGGCAATATCCATGAACCGCTCACAGTTTGTCAGAAGCTCGGGTACCTAGAGAGTAGTGTGTTTCATTTTCAAGAATGGTAGCGGGCAACTAGTTACTGTCTGCCACCACTTAGTTTGACTTGTATAATGGTGAAAGTATCGGAGAAAGCAATCAGGATAGACTACTGGGATATGTGGAAACACGACTTATTGGCATAGGAGCTACACGGCTCGCGAAGTGGACACTGTTGCTCAACGAACGTGCTTCTAACCAGGAAAGAGCAGGTGGAAGCAATCGATAGTAAACTATATGTGGGTGTGGTTTTTGTTGATTTTAGAGAGGCATTTGGTTGGGTGAGGTTTCCCACTTGGGCGTTCTGAGGAAGCTCGTAGGTTTCTGTATAGATGTCAGCATGTGTGAGTGGTCTGTGCAATACGTGTGTGGTAGAAAGCAAAGAGTTAGTGGATTATTGTCTGAGTGGAAACCAGTTACGAGTGGAGTTCCCCAGGTCACTTTACTAAGCCCTATCTTATTCTTGCTCTGTTGTAATGAATTACCAGGTGTGCTTATATAATCGTTCTTAGTATTTGCAGATGACGTTAAGATTTGGGCGGTTGTTCATGATAATGCGGATAATCTAGAACTACAGACTGATTAAATGGTGTAGACGCGAATCTAGAAATAACAAAAGTGCAGTAATCCATATTGATCTGGAGTCATACTATCCATACTCATTAGATGGGCCAATACTGCCTTGCGTTAAGGAACAAAGATCTAGGGGTCGTTATCAGCCATAGCTTGGAAACAAGAGCACACTGTAACTCGGTGCTACCCAAAACATTCCATCTGCTATGGTCACCGCATAGGGCTTTTAAGTGCTTTGAAAGCGAAACATTTAGGATGTTTGATACTGCATCTGTAAGACCTAACCTGTAGTACTCCACACAGGCAGCTATCACTGGCTTAAAGAAGAAGCAAACACACTAGAACGGGTACGGAGTAGTGACAAGACTCGTATCTTCCCTATGAGAAACAGTTGGACAGTCTGAATCTTTTCGCATTATCAAATCATAGGAAAACTAGAGATCTTTTGTTATCGTATGGTATCTGGAATAGTGGTTTGGGTGTTGATATCTGGTCTTTTCACTCATTCTAGGACTGATTACGTAAGAAGTTATAGCAAAGGGGTTCGGAAGCCCCGGTCGAATAAACTTCTAGTGGAACACATCCTCTCATGGGATGGTCAACGACTGAAACT